CGCCCGGGGGGCGCGGGTGCCCGGGGCAGGGGCCAAGGGGCTTCTGGAGAAGCCAGCACGGAAAACCTCCGCTCGACTTCCCTCGGCCTCAGCCGCTCCCAAAGCATTCCCGAGGCCTGCGGGGATACACCAAAGTGCCTTTTTCCTTCCCAGGCACCTGCTGAGCAGCAGTCGATCGTGGCACATGACTCTGGTCATGGCGAGGCAGGCTGGCGGAGCTGTAATTAGCCGCTGGGGGCTTTGAACACGCGGCGAGTCCTTGTCCAGTGGGGGCTGACTCGCAGCACCGAGCTGCCAAGCCGCCTGCACCCGGTGAGCCCTGCGGCTGCACCCGCGCTCTGGCAGTGGGAAGGGTGCCAAAACAAGGCAAGGCGCTCGCTGTGCCCCCCCCCGCCCCGCGCTGGCTTCCTCGCCGCCGGGCAGGGGGCTCAGTGCCGCCGCAGGCCGTGGCAGGGCAGGCAGCGCTGCTCCAGGCCCTTCGGGAGTTCGGTGCTGCAGCCGGCTGGCCGATGGTGGGGGAAGCCCCAGTGCCCCGTGCTACTCTGCGGGCTGGTCCCGCAGGCCCCCAGCTAAGGAAAGGGGGCTGGACTGGGGGCCCCAGTCTGCTGTGGGGCTCCGGGCCCCAGTGGGCACCGCGCTCTGAAGTATCCCAGTGCCCAAAGATCGGAGGTGTGTGAGCGAGGGTCCGCTTTCGGGGCGGAGGGGGCTGCCTGCGTGACTCTGGGTGTGACTCTGTAGCTGTCGTTGTGTCAAGGCTCTGTGTACTGGTGCTGCTCTCGGGAGAGATGGCTGCGTTTCCGACTGTCGGCTTCTTTCTCGTGCTCCGCCTGTGTTTCTCGCGTTGCTTCGTCCTCCGTGTTTGCTTTCCAGCACTTTGTAGTCACCATTTCTCATCTGCCATGAGAACACGGTGGGGAGGAAATAAAAGGCTTATGTTCTCGTGGGCACGTTGTAACGTCTGTTCCTTCTGCCGTGCATGCTTGGCCCACCCCGGAGCCAGCAGGAGCAACCCACTGGCCCGATCCCCGGCTGCCGGGGAGTCGGTGACAGTCGGGTGCGTGAGCAGGAACAGACCTTGTGGGGCTGGAGGGGAAGAGCCTGTCCCGATAGGATGGATCAGTGTCGTTCTGCCTCCCTAGCCCGCGCTCCCCGCTTGCTGGCTGCGGCGCACGGCCTCCTCCGGCAAGGGGAGCCGTGACCGGCAGAGCCCGGTGCCTGGTGGGACGCTCTGCCCTCGCGCCGGTGGAGCCCCCGCTGCCTGGCTCTTGGGACTGGGACGTGGCTCTTCCTTCCCTGCCCTGGCATCGCCTGGCAGCTTGACCTTCTGTGTGCCCGGTCTGGCTGGCACCCCAGCCACCCCCCAGCTCTGGCTGCCGGCAGTGCCACCGCTCTCTGAGCGCGAGGGCCCCGGCAGCACTGGCACTGCCACCTCTGCGCAGGGAAATGTGGCCCGGGAACGTTTTGACCCTGCAGCTTTGCCTTACGAGCCGCTGCCCTCCTGCCGGCTGTCCCATGCTGGGATGGTGTCACGGACTCTTCCTGCCCCAGGCAGCCGGGAAGGAAAGGGGAACGCTGAGATCCTGCCGGCAGCCCCGGCTGCCCCCAGCCAGGCGTGACGAGGCGGTGGTTAGATGGCGCAGGATGAAGACACCGTGCCCTGGTCGTGTCCCATCCTTCCCCTTCCTCCACACACGCTGCTGAGATCTTTGCCCATGTGGAACGGGCAGGAGTCCGTCCCCACAAAGTGGGGCCACAGACTGGCCGTGCCCCGAGGGCGAGGGGAGGCTGCTCTCCGGCCGTGGCCCTGCAGGACAGCCGTCCCATGGTGATGGCCGGGTTACACGGAGGACGTCCTCTCCCGGAGCTGCTGCTCGGGCTGGGGCCCTGACAAGTGTCAGAGACGCGTTCCCCCTCCCAGCTGCTTCCTCTGAGCCTCGCAGGGCGGGAGCCCTTCCCTGGTGGGCTCCAGCCACAGCCCTCCGGCACGGCACGTTGTCCGCTGGCTGCCGGGGCCGGGCCCCCTGCCCCGCTGTCTCTCCTCCGTGCCAGCCTGTGCCTGCGCGGTGCTGCCGTAGGAGCCGCTTTCCCAGAGGGCTGCTCCGTCGGGCTCTCCTCAGACGCCCCGTGCTCCAGCCCCGATCCCCTCCGCGGCTCCCGCTCCACCCTGCCCGTGTTGGCTGAGCCCCGGGGAGCCCAGACCGGACCCATGCTCCGCCCGCGGCCTCGCGAGTGCCAGGGCGAGGGAGGGGGTGTCTCTGCAGGACCCCCCCGCTGACCCTCTCGTCTGTGCAGCCTCGGCTGCCGCTGGCCGTTGCTGGCTGGGGTTCGTCACCGAATTGTGCCGTTTCAGTTGCGACGAGTCCAAGGTTAAGAGCCTTGGTCACTCACCGGTACCGTCCGCTGTCGCCCGTAAAGCCACTGCCCAGACAGAGTGCTTCTGCACGCCGCGAACCTGCCCCGGCACAGACTTTGCCGCAGTCTGGCTCCTGTCTGCTCCTGCTCGCAGGGTCCCATTTGCTGGGGGGGGGTGTGGGGTGTCCACCGTCGTTCATGGCTTGCTTGGGCGTTTTACGTGTTGTCTGTTCCCCGGGGGATGCTGTCGTGGTTTCACCCCGGTGGGCAGCTCAGCCCCCCCCTCCCCCAGCCACTCACACGCTCCCCCCGCTGGGGTGGGGGAGAGAATCAGAAGGGTAAAAGTGAGAAAACTGGTGGGTTGAGATAAAAACAGTTTTAACAGGGAAAGCAAAAGCTGCCCAAGCAAAGCCAAGCCAACTCAGGTGTTCCTTCGCTGTTCCCATCGCAGGCGGGTGTTCAGCCGTCCCCAGGACAGCCGGGCTCCGTGACGCGTGACGGTGACGGGGGAAGGCAAACGCCATCGCTCCCAACGTCCCCCTCTTCCTCCTCCTTCCCCCAGCTTTTACTGCTGAGCGTGACGTCCCGTGCTCTGGGATGTCCCTCGGTCAGTGGGGTCAGCTGTCCCGGCCGCGGCCCCCCCCCCCCCCCCCCAGCTCCTCGCTGGCCGCTCGCTGGGTGAGGAGCAGAAAAGGCCTTGACGCTGTGCCAGCGCTGCTCAGCAACAGCTAAACGCCCCTGGGTTATCAACGCTGTTGCCAGCACAAATCCAAAAAGGCGGCCCCGTACCAGCTGCCACGGAGAAAATGAA